CTATGAGTTGGAATCGACTTGATGTCAGTGAGTTCATTTGGTTTTTGGAGTTACCCTATAGGACAGAGCAGAACTGCCCCAAAGGATTTCCAAGGCTGTACATATTTACCTAAGTAGAATGCCTCATCTTTCTCCCGCAGAGTGGTTGGTGGGTTCAAACCACTAACCTTTTGGTTAGCAGCCAAGTGCTTTAACCACTGTGCCACCTGCTCCTTCCTTAAAGATTACAGCCTATGAAACCCTATGGGGAAGTTCTACTTTGTCTTATATTGTCATAATGAGTCAGAATCAATTTGATGGCACACAACAACATGTTGCCCATCACTAAATGGAAGGTTGAGTTACTTGGTACTTAGTTTGGCCAGTGGAGAATTGAGTATTAATGGCACTGTGTATGGGATATTCATGTATTATGCTGCAGTGTTAGGTGCTGGCCTCTTCTGGTATTCGGATGTTGATGTACAGGGTGTCACCCAGCAGAAAATGGGTTAACAGATGCTGGGTTAATAAATGATAAAATAGACACTATGAGGGGTGTATTTGTTGGATTGCTTGGGTTTTTTGGTGGCAATGTCATGGATATTGGCCAGTGGGGTAATGGATGTTAGGGTACAAAAGGTACTGAATGTTTGGCTATATGTTGCCTGTTGTCTCTGATAGGAAGTTGGAATATTAATGGTGTTAGGAGTTAGGATGTTCATGAGTCATGTTTCAATCAGATAGAGCTGGGGTTTTGAATATATTAAGTGTTTGAGTATTTCAGTGTTGGCTTGTCTGAGTAACTCAGTGCTGAGTGTTGGCTTATGGGTAACTGATGTATTAGATACTAGAGTATTATCCCAAACCTTGAGTGTTGGTATCGTATGTAGGGTAACACAGTACTGACTTGCTCAAGAATTGCATGATCAGTGTGTCAAGTGTTGCCTGGCAGGAGACTGAGGTTTTAGATGCTAGAGCACTAGGTATCCACAGATAGAGCACTGAAGTGTTGACCTGGAGCACTACAGGTGTTCTACTGTGTTGGAAAGTTGAACATGGTTGTCAGGGGACTACGGGTATCGAGTGTTGAAAAGGCCATGAACTTGGTGAGGGTCTTTGGGTGGGATGGCTTTGGGGAGAGTCATGTTGGATACTGACTGATCAGGCATAAGGACCAGGGGCCAGTTCAGCACTCACTTGTAGGTCCAGCAGTCTCTCATGAGTGTGTACAACTCAGGCGGACACTCTGGTGGGCACTCCATCCGCTTGCCCTGCTCAATGAAGGCCATGACCTCGGGGCCCTTCATCTTCTGCTCAATCCAGGTAGAGGGCAAATATGAGTAACCAAGCACCCTTCCCTGCAACCTCCTTTCTTGCCCCACCACCCACCCACCTTTCTCTGCCTATGCCTGCCTTATAAGGTTTCTGGCCATAGGAGAGGGCCTCCCACATGGTGACCCCATAGCTCCAGACATCGCTGCGGCTGGAGAACTTGCGGAAGTTGATGCACTCAGGCGCGTACCACTTGAGCGGCCACTTCCCTGCTGAGCGAGCCTAAGAAGGGAGACATGCTGTGTGAGCAGGGCTTGGGGACTTCTACCTGCCAACCCTATACACCTGGGCACCATAGGGGTGGGGGCTCACAGTGTAGTAGCTGTCATCGGCACCCAATGCCTTCGAGAGGCCAAAGTCACTGATCTTGGCATAGTGCCGGTTGACCAGTAGGACGTTGCGTGCTGCCAGGTCACGATGCACAAAGTTCTTCTCCTCCAGGTATTTCATTCCCATGGACACCTGGTGCAGCAGCTCCACTACGTTGCTGACGGGGATCTCTTCTCTGGGAGGAGGGAAAGGCAGAGTCACCTGGCAGGGGACAGCCCAAGTTCCCCAGGGCACAAAAACCCATTTCTCAGATCCGGTTTCCCATGGGCCAGATTACTATGTGTTTAATAGATGCTCACTGAGTACCTGCTGTTTGCTAAACACAGTGCTGAGAGCACACATGTGAACAAAACAAGCAAAAATCCCTGTCCCCTGGCTGGTCTGGTAGAGGCTGGTGAGACCCCTGAGACTATGGCCCTTTGTTACCCTGCACGTCTGTATTTGAACTCACTCCTGTGGCTTCCACCCAAACAGACAGGCATTGGGGTGAACATTTACATCAAGCAGATATACTCCTTGGAGCAATCAGTTATGGAAGAACAGAAGGGCAGTGTTCACACGGGGAGACAACTGGGGGGGGTGGGAGTGCATGGGAGGGAAGGACACAAGGAAGAGGTAACCACCAGGAGGAAACAGGAAGACAGCTGTTACTCTATGAGGAAATGCAGTCAATGTCATGAGACAAAATGTGTGTGAACTGCTGTATGGAAAATGAATTTGTTCTGTAAATTTTCACCCAAATCACAATAATAATCTAAAAAAAAAAAACCCGCCCTCATCCAGGCTCCTGATTTTTAAATATCACCCGCATTCTATAATTCCCAAACTTATACCTTTGCCTGCATCCTCCATGTCCCATCGTGGGGATCTCATGGGCATCTCAATGATAATATGGGCAAAGCGAAGCTCCTGTGTGCACTTGTGTGTGCACACACACCCACATGCACACAACCAGCTTCCCCCTCCAACTTCTGCAGCTGACAGCATCCCCATCCTTCCATTTACTCAAGCCAGCAGCACTGGTTACCCTCAACCACATCTAATCCTTCAGCAAATTCTGGCAGCTGTGCCCTTAGAATCTATCCAGAAGTTGCCCACTTCTCCCATCTTTGCTTCTGCCACCTTCCCAGCCCCCGTCATTATCATCACCATCATCATTTCTCTGGGCTGGAACAGTCCACCCACCCTCTGCTCACCTCCTCCCACCCACCACCCACCCTAATCTGTCCTCCCAAAGCAGCCAAGTCAGGTCACATCGCCCCTCTCCCCACTGACTTCTTCCTCACTCACTTGCTCCAACCATAGGGCTCCTTATTGCTCCTCCAACACACCAGGTACAAGCCTACCTCAGGGCCTTTGCACTGGCTGTGTCCTCTGCCTGGAATACTGTTCCTCAGATCACTGTCCAGCTGCCTTCCTCCATTCACTCAAACCTCGCCGTCTCACTGACACTCCCAATCCCTTTGCCCCACTCTCCCTATTTTCCATAGCACTTATCTTCCCACATACTCCATACCTTATTTGCTTATGATTATTATCTATTGCTTCTCTTTCCCAACCAGAATACAGGGCAGGGATCTTTGTTTCTTTTATTAGTTGATGAATCCCAAGTGCTTGTAATAACCCCTGTCATCCAGTCATTGCCCAGAGAATGCCTGCCGAATGACCGAATGCATGAGCTGTCACGCCATGACCATGCCCGCCCCAGACAGCGTGTGTGGATTGGTGATCATGTGCCTTGATAAGAATGGAAATTGTGTCTCTAAGGGTAGGAGTCTGAGGATGAAGGACACATATGAAATTGCCTTTTCTTTAGGCCAGGAGTCAGTTACTTTTTCTGTAAAGAGACAGATAGTATTTTAGCCTCTGTAGGCCATGTATGGTCTCTGTCACATACTCTTCCCTACTTTTGTTTTGTTGTTTTTACAGCTTGCTAAGAATGCAAAACCACACTAAGCTCTCAGGCTATAGTTTCATATAGTCTCATGGGCTATAGTCTTCTGATCCCGACTTTGGGTCAAAGACAATCTAACATCAGCTATGCCACATGGTCTGTGAATTTGGCAGCAAAAAGGAGAGAGCTGATACTGACAAAGCTCTTTCTAACAGTGCCAGACATTGTTCTAAGCACTTTATAAGTATTCATTCATTTAATCTTCGTAAGAGGCCCCTCTCCAGCTACAGATGAAGAAAATGAGGCACAGGCTGGTTAAAAAGCTACATGGTAGCAGAGCTGGGTTTCCAAAGCTGGCGGTCAGGCTGTGTCTGCCCTGTTCACAGCTCTGCCATGTGGAAATGAGTGTCGTCATCAGGGTTTGCAGTAGAGTGGGCTTGCATGTGCCCGTGAACACGCAAAAATGGTGTGCACACTCACTGGCATGTGCACAGACCCATGTAGGAGCAAGTATGCATGTACCCTGGAAGTGTGGGTGTGTGTCTGCCTGACAGAATAACTTGGTGGGTTGATGGTTTAAGCACCTCCAGTCCCATCCAGCCCCAAATGCCCAGCCCACCTGGAAGCTCACCTCTTTCCAAGCAGGAACTTGTGCAGGGGCCCGCCACCTGCCATCTCCATGACCAGCATGAGGGCCTCGGCCTGGCAGACGCCTATGAGCCGCACAATGTAGGGATTATCCAGCTGGTGCATGATCTGCCCCTCCCGCATCATCTCATCCTTGTCTGCCTTCTCCGTGCCGTGTTTCAACACCTTGATGGCCACGTCGATCTGCTTCCTGCCCCGGTGCAAACCCATGCAAGAGGGCGTGTGTGTGAACTGGGAATTCCCACCCAACTCACATAATGGACATAATCTCCCCTCAGGACTAAGGTACTCATTTGCCCAGCTGCCAGGAGTGTTGGCTGCAGACAACTCACAACCAAATCCCTCACCTCGGAACTGCTGTGGCAGAAAAGAACCACCTCATCCACAGTTACACCCTTCCGGGGCAGGCTGCATCCATCATTGATGCAAGTAGACAAAAGGGTCCTCTCTGTAGCTCCCCTGGGATTGGCTAAGGCCTCTGATTGCAACTGCAGCACAGCCCAACCACTCCCTCAGCTCCAATGGCATCCTTCCCTCCCTCTCAGGTACTGACCCCTCTCAAGAGCTCTCCCAGGGAGTTGTCTTGCATGCAATTTCCCATCCCAGAACCTGTTTCCCTGGTAAACTGATGTGAAACAGACAGATATCCTGGTTCCAATCCCCAAGGCTGTGGAGGCAACCTGGTGAGGCCACCCCTTTCACCTCCCACACGGCGGTCCCCCACCATGGCAGGGCCCGCCATACTTGCGCATGCGGTAGACGCCCTGCCGGACTGAGCCAAAGTTGCCACAGCCAAGTTCGATATCAGCCATGAGGAGGTTCTCACGCTTCAGGAAGAGCTTCTTGTCCTTGAGCTCCTCAGGGTCGCTGTAGGGGCTCTCATACACACTCGTGTCCATGGGCAGCGGCCGTGTTTTCTCTGGGGACACTGGACGCGCTGGACACACACTCCGAGGTTAGGGGAAGCATGGATGGGGTATGGAGGTGGGGTAAAAGAGGGCAGGGCAGCTCCAGCCCCCATGACACATGTGCCAAACCATGTGAATTGTGAATTGTATGCCTTAAATGGATGAATTTTATAGTATGTAAATCATACCTCAATAAAGTTGTTATAAATAAAAATAAAGGAAAAGGAGAAGAAAATTTTAAAAAAAGAAAGCAAGAAAGAAAAAAGTGTGCCACCCAGAAAATGCACATGGGCACCTAGGTGTGCTACGTGTGCTCATGTGTATGCATTTGTGTACACTCTCAGCTGCATCTGTGTATGTACTATGAAGCCATGCACAAGGGACTCTAAAGGTATGTGCATCTGTGTGCATATACAACCATGTGTGCATCCTCTAAAGTGTGTCTTATGTCTTCATGTACACTCTCATGTATACTGTCATCCATGTGTAACATGCAGCCATGAACATAAGAAACTAAAAGTATGTGTGCATATGAAACCAAGTGCACACTAGCTGAAGTGTTGTATATGTATTTATTTACATGTGTACACTTATCTACATGCCTACCCATGTATGCACCATGTTTATGAGAACTCAAAGGTGAGTACCTGTGAGTACATGTAACCACAAAGGCCCTTCACTGTGCACACATGTGACCAGGTTTGCATCTATACATGAAGCACATGCGTGTCTTCAGCAAAGTGTTTTAGGAACATGGGCTCTGGAGCCTGTCTGCCTGATTCAAATGCTGGCTCTACTGCTGCCTACCTATGGGATCTTAGAAGGTTACTTGTCCTCCCTAAGCACCCCCTTTCTCATCTGTAAAATGGGGATAAATACTGTAACTACTTCATATGGAGTGTTGGGAGGATTCAATGAGTTCCTATACACAGTGAGCTTGGAACATCACTGGCAAATAGCAGGTGCTCAATAAACATGTGTCTGTGCACAGGGTGCCCCAGGCACACATCCTTATATGTCAGCATACATATAGATGTACACGGGCACAGTCAAGCATGGTGGGGGGTGTACCGTATATACATTTGTGGGCATCATGTGTGCATAGGGGCCACAGGATTGACCTAGCACACTTCTCTCCCTCACCCAACCCCAGAGCCTAGCCAAGGACCCCACTTTTGGTGTAGCATGAGCCCCAACCCCACATCTACCTCTGCCAGCTCACCTGGCTCAGGGGTGTATCCATCTGAGTTGAGGGTGTCATTCCGTCTCTGAGGCAAAAGGTCACATGGTCAGCAATGGTTAGCAGAGCCTGAGCTGAGGGACCCTAGTCCCTCTTATAAGACACATATCTTCTGAGGACTCCCCAGGGACAGTGCCTAAACTTGGAGGAGGGGCTCTTCTGCTCCACAGAGGCTCCCATTTTCCTTCCCAGCCTCCCCAGAACAGGACCCATCACCTGCCCACCCAGTTTCATCCCTGAGTCCCCAACTCTGAGTTGCCTGGCTGACTCACATGGGTTAACGAGGATGGATGGGCTGGAAGTGTGGGAGCAGCGGCCCCTGGGGAAGCAGAAGGGACAATGAGGGACATAGGGGGATGGGGGTCTCCCACCCACCTGCCCCCACGGCCACCAATCACCTGTAGCAGTGCTGGCATTGGAGTTGGGACAGACCTCCTTGAGGCAGTAGATGAGCCCATCTGCCTTCAGCTTCAGGTACTCCACCAGCTGCAAGGAGCAGGTGTCAAGGCAGGGCTCCTCCCCAGGAGCCTGCATACCCCGTCACAGTGTCTCCTCCAGGTCAGGGTGGGTGGGTAGCCTACCTGCCAGAGCGTGTCAAACTTGGTCCCCTCAGGAATGCAGTACTTGCCCGCCTTGTCCTGGCTGATGAGGTAATGGTACACAGTTTTTCCATAGATCAAGGACAGTGCATATGTGCCCTGCTCCTTCCGGGGCCTCAGCCTGGGGGTGGGGGTAAGAAGGGAGTGTCACTCCTATAGCCACCTGGTCCTCTTGTGTGTCCCCACTTTTGAAACTCAGCTTTCCTCCACACTTCCTATGGGCTCCATACCCTAGAACCTTATGGAGAAGCAGCAGGGACTGGGGGGAGCCAAGATCAGGGCTCACTTGACTTCCAGACCCACTGGTAATGGTCAGTGTAGGGGAAGGAAGGAGGAAAAGAGCGTGAGTGTTCACAAGGAAACACAAGTTCAAGGCCAGAGGAAATACTGGTTATCCCCAGGGGAATACTGGCCCCCACAACAGACATTTGGCACTGCACAGCCAGACATTCAGCCAGCCCCAGGCGGACACCCAATCAGCCACAAGTGGACACTCAGCCAGCCACAGGTAGACACTTGGCCATTCACCACCAGACACTCCACCAGCCCCAGTCAGACATGCTACCATCCAGGAACAGATACTCAGCCACCCAAAGGGAACACCTGGTCCTCCTAGCTGGGTACTCAGCCACCTACAGCCAGACACTTAATATCCCCTGTAGGATACTCAGTCATCCACGGTCATACCATGCAAGGCTACTTGGCCATCTACAGTGGACAAAGAGCCACTCACAAGGGGGCACACAGCCTTCAACAGGGAGACTTAAAACTATTCTCTTGGGGATAGAAAGCCATTTCCACATGGACACCCACACAGGTAAGCACACCTCCATGGCTAGCTCACAGGACACTTCCAAGTCACCTGATATCACAATAGACTGACCAGTCATCTTGATACACTGGCTTTGATAGAATAAGTCCTGACTGCCCTCTGCTGGAAATTTGGCAAAATAAATATACAAATCTTCCATGTCTATAATGGAAACTGAGCCTCTCAAAAATGGGGGCCCTGTACAGTAAAAACTGTCCAACCACATACACTGGCCTGGAGTAAACACCCACACAGGCCAACTGAAGAGTCAGATACCTGCACCGCATCCCACGGTGAAACCAGTCAACATCTCCCACAAAACAGTTTTGTTTTGAGTCACTGGCACAAAGTTTCCAGGGCTGAGTATGGATTTCCAACAGAAAAGGAAGGCAGCTAGCCTGAGTGGTCCAGTACCAGTGGGAGTTGTGGACAGCTGACCAATCATCACTAAGAAAGTGTACTAAGTTAAAGAGGAGCTGGCTGGCAGTGGGCAACAGGAAACAGCCATTGGGCAGGCACCCTTAGAGGTGTAAACTCTCACACAGGGCTCAGGCTCCAACCATGGACACTCATTTACTGGGTGTCAGCCATGGGCCAGGCACTAAGGGCAAGGATACAATGGTGAACAACAACCTTGTGATTGGGCCGTTTGTTAAGCCAAAGAACAGAGCAATGTCCCCTAAATCGCCATGGCAGGACCCAAGTGAGGGACAGAGGAGGTACTAGAACCATCTCATTCCTACACAGCACACTGCCCTGAGAACAATGCAGTGAATGACAATATAGTTGCCAGGTGGAAGTAATAGGGAGAGCATTGAAGAGCAAGGAAGAGAACCCCACAACAAACTAAGAAATGCAAATGTCTATATAGAAGTTACTTTGGTAACTAAACTGATGGACTAGCCTAGAGGGATTAACCTCTAATTACTAATTCTCTTCTTTTGAGAAGTGAAAACACCTCCTAGGGGTAAAAAATTTAAGTTTTAAACTGACAACAGAAGCTCAACGCCCAGCCACTAACCAGCAAACATATGTGTGGTAGACTGAAAAAAATAGCCACAGTAATGGCAGCTATTGCTATCAATAGATGGAACCCATTTCTCTCTCTCCTGAATCCAGGCTTGACTAGATGACTTGCTTTGGCCAATAAAATATTTGAAAACATGAGCTTAAAAAGTGCTTGTGCATCTGGGCTTGCCCTCTCTTACTATTCCTGGTAGGCCTGCAACCACCATGGGAATGAGTCAAAGCTGGCCTGTTGGAGAAGTCACATGGAGGAGAACCAAAACACCCGGCCTGTCAACACCCAGACATGTCAGTGAGGCCATCCTAGAGGGGCCAGCCCCGGGCAGCCTACATGACTGACCTCAAGCAAAACCAACTGAGCTCAGCAAAATCGCCCAACTGAATGAACTCAGCCTAAATTGCCAGATGATAGAATCAAAGTTTAATAACTGACTACTATTATGATAATTTGTTACCCAGCAAAGGCTAACTGATGCACTTTCTTAGGAAAAAGATATGTGAGATCATAAAAGAGTAACCATTAATTTCTGAACAATAACCACATTGCTGTTGTTAGGTACCACTGAGTTGGTTCCAACTCATAGTGACCCCATGCACAACAGAATAAAACACTGCCTGGTCCTGCACCATCCTCACAATCTTTGCTGTGCTTGAGCCCATTGTTGCAGCCACTGTGTCCATCCATTCCTTGAGAGTCTTCCTCTTTTTTGCTGATCCTCTGCTTTACCAAGCATCATAGCCTTCTCCAGGGGGCTGGTCCCTCCTGATAACATGACCAAAATACAAGCGGCAAAGTCTTGGCATCCTCGCTTCTAAGGAGCATTCTGGCCATACTTCATCCAAGACAGATTTGTTTGTTCTTCTGGCAGTCCATGGTATATGTCATATTCTTCACCAATACTATAATTCAAATTTATCAATTCTTCTGTGGTCTTCATTATTCACTGTGCAGCTTTTACGTGCATATGAGGCTAATGAAAATACCACGGCTTGCGTTAGGCACACCTAATCTTCAAAATGGTACCTTTGCTCTTTAACATTTTAAAGAGGTCTTTTGCAGATTTGCCCAATGCAATACATCGTTTGATTTCTTGACTGTTGCCAACATGGACGCTGATGGTGGATCCAAGTAAAATGAAATCTTTGACAATGTCAATCTTTTCTCCGTTTATCATGATTTTGCTTATTGATCCAGTTGTGAGGATTTTTGTTTATGTTGAAGTGTAATCCTTACTGAAGACTGTAGTCTTTGATCTTCTTCAGTAAGTGCTTCAAATCCTCTTCACTTTCAGCAAGCAAGCTTGTGTCATCTGCATATCTCAAATTGTTAATGAGTCTTCCTCCAATCTTATGGACAAAGATGGGTAACATCTGAACAAGTGCCAGATGTATTAGAAGATGGAACC